AGAAAAACAAAACGGGAGAAAATGCATTTAGACAAAATATTAAGACTATCATTAGGTGCATATAAACAATGTTAGTGTATCAAACAATAATGTCATACCAGTGGTACGTCAGAAGTTTTTCAAGTGTTTATAAATTTATTTTGACGAGGAACCAATCAAATATACGATAACAGGTCTTGGATTTTGACGCAGAATTCATTCATTCATTTGGCTAAATAGCGTTTCGGCACTTTAGCTGATAACGGTTCGTGATGAAAACCATCAATCTAATTCCTAACCCTAGCTATCAACTGTAAATCATAATTCTAATTCTTTACACAGGTATATAACCCTCATTTAGCCCTAGTAAGTAGATGGGCATTCTCAAGGTCACCTAGGCGTCGCTCAAAGGTCATCCATAAATTATAGTCTTTTTTCTCTAGGTCCGACTGTTTTATTGGTAGTTAGTGATTGAAGCACCTACCTTTCAACAAGGTTCCAAACTTTTTCCACATTTTCATATGATTTGGTTTCAGTAGGTGGGATTACTTATTTAAATGTCACATCATAGATTATGATGGAATATGACAGTTTACATATTAAAACGTATTAATCAACATACTTTCAAAATGAATCAAAACAGAATAACTAATCTACTTAAATTCAATCGAGCAAAATAGACCCGATAATTATCATGAATATACGACAGAAAGTCAAATGTAACCAGTTTCCAACATTAATTTATATGCTTTTTTCTCTACATATACATATAAATAATTTGGGCCCAAGGAAATGTCTGCGCTAATTAAAATCCTACGGTTATAAGTTAGAAGATTCACTAGATATTATATAGGAACAGGAATAAGCCTCACGATTAAATTTACTGGAAACATTCAGTATAACTATTTAAAATGGTAGGATTGGCTTACATTTCGTTTTAGTAGAAAAAAACATTTCAACAGGTCATCTACAACATAGATATTCAGCATGTATATGTGTGTAAGAGAAAGAGAAGATTAGAAAGATAAATCAACTGATTAAAATAAATGAGGTAATATGAACTCGATAAATTCAACCATATATATTCACACAATCTCATAGAGTAATTAAACTTGACTAGTCCAAAACACTGTATTCAATGTTACAAATAGAACATAACATCACTAGACGTGATTGTTTTATTTTATGTATCATAAGTAAAAACAAAAAACTCAATCCGTGTAATACATAGCCATAATATGATAATTCTAGACTGTTTATTACCATTACTATTAATTATAGTGAGTAAAATAATTTTTAAAAAACATTTGTGTATTTATGGACACTTTTTCTTCTTTCTTGTTGTTGTTGGTAATAATACATAAAAGTAGGGCCCATAAAACAAAGTTATAAAACATAATTGAAGGTTGAATAAAAAAAATATATATCTTTGAACAACTGTTACATATACATGCAGAGAGATATGCACACACACACACAAACACAAACACACGTACACATACATACAAAAATAATCTAGCCAAATTACAAGTGAGAAAGAGAGTAAAAAGTAATCTGTAGAGAAAATTATAAATAAAAGAAAATATAAAACAATTTTGAAGAGGAGAAAAAGGAAAGACTTTTCAATGGTACACAAACATAGAGAATAAAATTTAAATGAAGAATGAAGTGCAATATTTAGTCTTTTTTTAATAATAAGTAAAAGAAAAATCAGAAAGAGAAAGATTGTAAATTGAAGTAGATTGTAGTGAAAAGTAATTTAGAAGTTGTTGTTTTCTGTGTATGGAATATTCAAACTTTCAATAGTATTATATATAATAAATGAATTGAATCGGTTATTTATTCAATATTAATGATACAGTGAAATATAGATAATCAAATAAGTTTTGATGAATGTTTTATTTCATTAGTTATGAGTCCACGAACTAGAGATCCTATGATTGATGAAAAAGATATATTTGCAAGTTGAAAAAATTTAAGCTTCCTGAGAAGGGAAAACCTAGAGTCGGCAGTTAAGTGATAAAGTTAGATATATATAACTGGATAATGTACAGTAGTCAGATATTGAATGATGTCAAGTTTTCCGATCACTGATCTTGCTTGATCAAACAATTTAGTTAAGTTTACGATATAATCAGAAAAATAATTGGTAATACCCCCTTAAGTGCCATGTTATGGTCGAGATTAGAGAGAGTCCGCTCTCCGTCCCAAAATGCTGTCACATAGCCACGTGCATAGCGCCACAGCCAGGAAAGTCCTATCCACAGATTTCACACACAATGGGTGTTGTTTACGAAATTGAGAGGACGAAAAGCGGATGTCCGGCGCTTTAATCGGTTGGTGTGTAAGGAGGATCTACCTAGGGGAGTTGGAGAACAATGGTCCCAAACCAATGGTGCACACAGGTTCTGGGATCCTGAGGGAACAAATGACGTATAAATCTATTGTTGGCCACCGGCTACCATGGGACAGCATCTCCTAACGTTGCTCTACTGACTTGTGAATCAGAACTTTGGGTAAAGGCTTTGGGATTGACTCCTTAAGAAGACTACCTACTTCTGTTAAGGCGTCCGGGCAGTATTCTGGCCCTCACACAAATCGAGTGATTTGTGTGGCACATATATATTTGGTGCCTCCTCGATCCAATGTTAATATGTTTAAATAAATAAATAAATTGGTAAAATACATTCGTGAAGTCAATATCAGTTATTATTGATGGATACATGCATAGATACTATAAAAGTGATCGTCTTCTAAAAACATCTGACAGCAGTTACAAAAAACTTTTATTTCCTAATTATGCCATTGGGCATAAACGTGCTTCCTGTGTAGATTATCTCATTGCTATCTTTTAGTTACAGGTTCCAGTAGTTATCTCAACACAGTAGATTAGTTGAACAATGTGTTGACGTTCCAAGTGATGGATATTAGATTCAAGCCTGAATGTGAACAACATTAGCTTACAGGAAAAACTAGCTGATAAGTCTCAAATAAAACAGTAATAGATGTCTAGAATTCCACAAATGTTATGTAGCAAATATACTAAAGCAAGTCAGAGTTAAAACATTCTAAATCAGAAATGTATTGACATGAATCTTGTCGTGACATAATTCCTTTAAAGGTGGGTTTTTTTTAAGAAAATAGCTTAATTACTCATCAAAGATAGATAAATGAAAACTTACATTTCTAGGCTCTCACAGAAAGAAACAAAATGGGTAGTCACATTATTGATACACAGAGAGGTAAGGGAGAATAACTACTAAAATGTGAGTATATATATATATATATATATATATATATATAGTCCTACCGACATGGACACACCAAAGCATATAAAAATCCCACTTTGTCCCTGGGATATACCGTATGACAAGTATAGTAATGTATACAAAGTATAAACAAATCGAAAATTTCTGATAGACTAAGTCTGAAAGAGAATCAATGCAACTGTACAGATCAATAAAAGAAAACCGGACAGGTCTGTACACACATACAGACAAATATATACATAAATATATACATGAAAATTGTCTGATTAAGTCTGCTGATGTAATAATAATAATATTGATAATATCCATAACAGTAACAGTATTAATCAATGCAGAATGGGAGCAAAACTCAGACGAGACAATCTATTGATTTGTTATTCTTAGTATAGGTCATAAAAGACGGGAGATAGGATAATTTATAACAAGGTTTGAGAATATCATATACATACAATGATTTGACTGACTTTTATTATTATAAAATGAAACTAGAATAAATAGTAATAGAACGATTGAATTTAATGGATAATGTTCTAATTAGCGATATTAATACAGTGAGGACACATTAATGGAGATGTAATTCACTTAGCAAGGACAGATTCGTGTACTCAACTTTAAGTTACGCTTAATGTGTGAAGGCTAGTGACACACTACCCGGTTGACCGAACTGAATTAGGTAGGGCAAGAGTTGAACCAGTGAACCACTGATTGAATATCTAACGCTTTAACCAACACATAAATAACAATTGAATGAGTGAATAAACAAGTGTTGTTGTGATGGGATTCCAACTATGTAAACTGGAAAAATCTAATTAATTGGTACATAGTATATGCGGAAATTCCAGTCAGAGACCACAAACACAGCAGACGCTATAAAGTTCATTTAACAAGCAAATGTGATTGTGAACTTTTGTTAAAGTGTCTATGTGTGTATGAATTTGTATTTTATGCAACACTGTATTTCCATAATGGAATAATATCGCCTAGGTTTATAAAACGGTAGAGGCGACCTAACAATTAAAGTATTCACCTTTTGACGAGATAACAGCTTCGAACTGCAGTATTTCATCTACTTCGATTTAAGCAGCTCAGTAGTATCATTAGTTTTCATAAAACAAAAAATGCTACTTGAAGCTGAGTACAACTTGGTCGATAGAATTCGATCAATATTAAAGGACTAGACAGATATAACATTGGTTACCTAATCACTGATCAACTATTTGTAAATAAATCTCAGTTCTTCAGTTAGTTAGTTGTGGTCAGAACAGTTCATTAATATTTTCTTCGACTGTAAGTTTTTGTGACGCTAGTTCAAATCCCATATGGAGCATTAGGACCTTAAAGATTCCAGGTACATCTTGTTAACGAGTGAAATCTAACAGAAAACCTAGATCTAGTGTTTATTCTCGACTACCTTCAACCACTTAGCATCAAAACATAAACTTGTACCTAGTAGGGGAGTTACATTAATTCAAAATGTTAGTAAAATGACAAAAGATTAAATATTGAGTCTAACTGAAATGTACTATTTAATTACAGCTTTTAATTATAAGGCAATGGATGTTATTGAAAATAAAATTACATACACCAAAATTTATCAAATAATGTTCTTGACTTCATAGAATCCTATTGAAAAATAGCATAACTATGAACATCCGATTTATAATACTTAGGAGTAGAATTTAACATTATCCCCTGATATTTAACAGTTAGTTTTTATTTAATAAATAATAATCAGTTTCAAATTGAACCAACCTCTTCAGCTTCCTTAGCACGTCGACGTGCTGCCAAAACACGTTGAAGATCAGTCATCATATCTACACCATGAGTACGTGGGCCAGAAATAGTTGGTGCAAAATCAGAAGATCCTAGACCAGCAACAGAAGCAGCACGAATACGTTGCTGTCTGGCCATACGTAACTGAGCATCTAAACTACCAGATTCAGCGACACTATCATGGTCACTAGTATCGGAATTTTCGGCAGCAGACTGTGAACCTGACAGTTTATTACTTATTGTTGTTGTGGTGTTTTGATGCCAATTTTTCGACCCAGCTATATTAGCCATTGGTGGGGGTGGAGGAGGCGGCGGTGGTGGTGGCGGCGGCGGTGGTGGTGGCGGCGGCGGTGGTGGTGGTGGAGCGGGAATCAATTGTTGGGATTTGGTATTATTAATTGAAGTGCCTATGGAAATGAATAAAAGTCCTTACTATAAATTAATAAAACTAAAAAGTTGAACATAGACGACAAATGTATCGTAAATGGTATTAAAATGTTGAAATACAAACGTGAAGATTAAGTGGTGGAATAGCACCTAATGAGTAATAATATGCATGCAGTCACATTCAATGATGTTGCATACCTTGGTTATGTACAGTAGCCAATGACTACATTTCTAAGTATGTTAAATTCTCAAACAACAAACAAATAGAAAGCCAGAAATATGATAAGAGGAAATTATGATTCTAAGTTAGTTTATGCAAATAAATTGAGGAATAACTATGAACAGACGGCTTTGAGATTATGAAACATAGTTTATATATGTCCCTATTTGATTGGACTATGGAAGAATGTAGGAGTAGTGAATAAAAGGTTTTCAGAAATTTGGAGAAAAAGTAGGGAACGAGTTGAATTTGGAAGGCACAGTAAACATTTAAGGAAATTAACTGGTATCCTTTAGCACCATTTACAAATACATCTACTAAATTGACTTCTAACTGTTCCCTTAACCCTTTTACATGCATATAGATAAGGAGGATCCACTTAGGGGAGACGGAAAACCCTGATTTCAAACCAATGGTGCACATGGGCACCCGGGTAGTATCACAGCCAACACACAAATCAAGTGCCTGGATAGGTGCATATGTACTTGGTGCCCCTTTGTACCAATATATACATAAATAAATTTACACGCATAAATATTTTTATAAATGTACTCGCATAACTTTATAAACAAGTAGACTCAGATTTATTTTCCTAGAATTTCTTCACATATTGTGCTTTATCTAGCGGTTAGTTTACAAAAAATATTATGAAAAAAGTCGCGCGTTTTGCGTAAACAAAAATCAGAAAGATAAAATTTAGTATGGGGAGATCGTGTTTTCACAGCTGAGATAAAGAACTGATCTTAGCTAGACCACCATTCACAACATGAAAGAATTGCAAGGCTGTTTCGTAGTAGTATGGGGATTTCTAGTCAACGCGCATCTACGACTACGCACAGGAGAATCGAACTTAGCATTTTCGGCCTCACGCTCGAGCGCTGAACCTCTAGACAACTGAGCCGGAATTCAACGGTGTTCATGTCTAATTCCAACTAATCCATGATTTTGCACAACCATTCATCCATGGAGTGCGGTGGATAGCTGTTTCATACCCGATATGGATTGAACCATTATAGCTATCTGTTACACTGTAAAAAGTAAATTTTACTCTACAGTAAACTCAATAGTAACATGAAGGACATGTCAATCAACTAGCCATTGAACCGAACAGACTTTAGACGTAAGAATTTATTGATCATTACAGTCAGATATGAACTAAACTGATAACAATAACAATCCATTAACAAATGATCTCATCAACATAAATATCAAAGATAATACTTAAATATAGAAAGAATATTAGAAACTATTATTTCCGGTATTCATATTTCTGTGTAATGCGAAAACCTGTACGGTTTAATGTGAGAACGTGTGTTGATGTATTCGTCTATTTAATGAGTTAGTCTTAACTCACCATAACGTATTTACCAGGTTTATGTAGTTGTTCTTCAAAAAAACTTTAGGTGTCAGAAATAACGATATTATTTGACTGTTCAAACAGAGTAGAATGACGGTTGAGCCCTCCACCAAGTCAAGTCCTTTTAAACATAAAACCATCGTCCCACCAGAATTCATTAAACGGATATTGTACAGTTACTCATGAGAAGTATCCAACATAAACAGAAATCCAATATCCTGTCAAATGGTTGACATCGATTATCTATTCCGCTATGTTCCCCTAATCTGTGTAGTATAATATATTACCTTTTTTGCGATTTTGTGTGTCAAGTTAAACTGAAGCAGAGTTTTGGGAATACTCTTGACCATATTATATGTCGTTATTTATGATTTTGGTTCTGGGATATTTCACTGTTGATCAATTAAACACGATGATCACCGTGTGTAAAGAATAATGAACTACTACTATTACTAATGTTTGATCATCAATCCCCTCAAAGCATCGCTTGCGTATACTAAGACCACCAGAGTGAGCATAAAAATTGGGATACCGGTTTAATGAGGTTGTAAATCTTCATCAACTGGAGTGGTTAGGAAATGTGTCACGTATGTCTAACCATCGTCTACCTGGAGGCACGAAGTTTGTTTAGTGTAGCAGTACGTAGGAATAAAGCTATAGTGGCTGAGCCAAGGTGTAGCATCAAATCATTAAAAGAATGAATATTGGACTGAGCTATGTTGGTTACTGTTGACTTTCAGTTGGGGATTCTCGCAATTATCGTAACTGATAGTTGGGGAGGATTGGTGGCATTGTTAATAATTAGTCATTATGGCCCAGATACAATCACTTTTCATCTTCTTTAAGATACTGAATTGCAAAATTGTCTTATACTTTTCTATTCAATGAACTCTGCAATCAACTAAGATGTGCGCTATAAAAGTTCTTTAATGGTAATAAACTCTGTTATATGCTTTCACACTTGCTTATTATTTGATACATTATGATACACTTATTTTGACTTACTTTACCAATACCAATAGCTTTATTGTTTCAATTTTTTCGAAATTACGTATAAATTATACACCGTGCTACAATAATCAACATGGTAACTTGATACTACTAGTTAAATCTTTGTCTAAATAAATTTATACGTGAATACAGATATAAAAACTATTTAGACAGGTATATTTGGACCTAGGTTTTGAGTTAGTTGGGACTCGTCAATAAAGCAAGTATATATAGTCATTGTTGAAAAATCCCAGTCCTACAAGAGGCTTAGAATAGTTCGGTAAGAATGCTTCAGATGATGAAACTGGGTGAGGTGGGTGAGCATTATTTACATCAATATAGAAACTACATCTTGCTCATAAATGTCAAGTAACAAGAAACCTAGGTCCAGAGTTACTTGAGATATCAAGTCATTTATACTGATAACCATATTGCAACTTGAACGTCAGAAATTGACTTACACTAAGGATTAGACAAACATTACATTGGTCACTACTCAGTGGAAAAGCAATGTATGTGAAAATAATAAACTGCATGATTACCGTTTATGCTGTGAGCTTTAATCGAAACGAAATGAGTGTTACAATAACTGATGAGTTATTGTCACTAAAATGTCAGTAAGGTTATGGGATGCAATAGAACGTCAATTAAATAGATAAACATTTATTACAATAAGGGGGTCAAGCAATATTACGCTAACATGTGAAATAATACGGTTACATAAATGTAAGATTTATATATGATTATCAACAACTGACGTCACTTGGTTAAAGGCAGGGTGGTCGGTAATTGAAGCATGAAAGATATGGGTAAATCTGTGGTTAGTTTTGAAATCAAACATCTTGTGGATTGGAATATATCAAAACGGTGTTCCCTGAAATCTTAGGGAAAATGATGTAAAAATGGGAAGCTTTATTCACTTGAAAGTGAAGAAACGCCTTGTTGATAAGTGTCGCCTAAAACTAAACACTTAGCCAACCAACATCTAATCATAGTGCACCAGCAAATCGAGTTACATGCCCTAGCGATCATATTGCACTATGATCAATGTAAGTCGATGACAGCTAAGGACTAGATAATATGATATTAGTAACATGGAAGTGATGGAAATAAGCTTTCAATTATAAACTCACATTGATTTGGTGAAAGAGATCTGGTAATAACAGAAGATTCATCTGAATTCCCACCTAATAATTTAACATTGTTATTGGGAAAATTGGAAGCGTTCAACGTCACGGATGAAGTTGGATTCACATGAGGTTCATTGGATCCATTAGGCAGACCACGAAGATTACGTACACTATCGTCTGAAGATGAATAATACCTATTTTTCAAGAAAAAAACTAATTTAAATTCATTCTAAGAAATAACACAATCCAAATGATCAGCTAAAGTTTCATAGTCTAATGTATAAATAGTCAAATGCTAAGCCACACCGAGTTAAGAAACGCAGAGAATGTGATACTATTCAGTCGATGTTTATTAATTAACTTACTACCTGGATGTGAGTCATTCTAGGTATGGAGGCTAGTGATACCATCCTGTTGACCAAATCAACGTAGATGGAGAGGAGCACGAATACACAACTTAGTGACTTGAAGGTCAAGCGCCTTAACCATTGAGGCACCACCCCAAGAAAACCAGGAAGCTCTGGATAGAATGTTTTGTTTAAGTATGAAACCCCTTGGCAGTGTGTACCTACTGAACCTAGAACTCAAGCAACGAATACTTAACCATTAGACCACGGTTCATTTTGATTCTGTCTACTTATTCTAAGCTTTTTTTCTCTAGACGTAAAATAGTGATTGGTTAAGAGATAAATTCTAAAAGTTTTAATGTGGAGCGTTGACCGATGACTTTCAAACATCAACGATGATATTGGACAAACACCAATGGAATCGATTGAAGTTACAAATGTAAACCAGTGGATCTCGATCCAGTTGTGAAAAAGTAACGTGTTTGCTACAAGACAGACGTGAATTTATTATTTTCAATCATGTGCGAGGTCGTAGGTATTTAGACTAATTAAGTGAAGACCAAACATAGGATGAAAAGTCTAACTAATTCTCTATAATTTCCCATAGTTCTCCAGTTAATATTAATACATGATGAAAATAAACCTCTGATAAAACATTCGTTAAATAGTAATTTGTTAAAAAATAGGTAATTACATATTTTACAGTAAAACAGTGACTTAATAGTTCAACATTCAACCACTAACTACCGAGTTCAATCTTCATTCTATCTACATCAGCTTGAGGGCGTAGCATAGACTGAAGAAAAGAAGAATGTGACACGGCGAGCATGAACCACCGCAAGAACGACTGCTTTAAAGGGGAGGACGAGTGTGATGTGTGCTACTGATATTAACATAAGTAGTATATGACGTTACTCGTGAACAGAATGTCTGGCAGCAGAGAGACAAGGGGATCGAACAGTAAAGAATGGGGACAGAATGCGATTTGCATGAGAATGCAAGAACAATGAATTCTGAGTCATTAAGAGACAATTGATGGACATTCTACGTATTCTACGTATTCACGTATTTTATTAACAAGTCGTGTAATTTTGTGTCAAATATATTCGAATGTACCCCATTGGTGTTCTTGTTCACTACAGTATCATTAACCCTCATACTTAGACTAAATGCTCATACTCAAGTATCTGGTGAGCAAGTCAATTTAATTTTTTTTTTTAAATCTACTCAGTGATATAATAAATGAATTTAGAAATAGATAAATAAATGAGAAACTAACTCATTGAAAATAAAAACTTCAAAAGAAGATTTGAATTAATAAAAATCAAATTCAATATGGTTGAATAGATAATTACATGTCTAATTAGTATTCATTAAGGGAAACAAAGATATAAATTTTATGAATAAAACATTAGAAAGTAAAGATCTACATTTTGTAAATAATCAAAGTACGAATTAAAAGTACATTTGCTAAGAAATTAAGATATATGTAATATAAGTACAAGTATATGTTATTCACGTGTAAGATCAGATTCATTATATCGATGGATCAATATTCAGTCAATTGTTAGATAGTGTCACTAGTCTCTAGAAACAAAAAGAATATCCTAACGTACGAATCTATATTTGGCCAGTTTACCATATAAATTTTATTCTCACTTAAACACTAATGGTTATTGAACGATAAATATAATCGCCCATTAGTCAGTCAATATTAACGTAAACCATAACACCAGAAATACATTGGTTCAAGTTGTCAAAATAAAAATAAAAAAATCAATTGCACATTATAGTTATAGAATTTCCGTATTACGTAATAATATCTAATGTGAAAATCTATATAGTATTATCGGCAAGTGAAATGTTAATGATAATTATGTAAGAAAATGGAATAATTAAGGCCGATTTAGACATTTATACTTGATCACTTAACAGATACGAGTGACCAAGTGGATATAAAGAATTTCGAGTGATCAATCACACTATCCATTCTGTCATTGGGGACTACATAGATATGTCTTTTGTATACAACGGAAGTTATCACTATTCACCTCAACAGACCAAAACTTAGGAATTCATAAGATATTTGTAGAACCCCGTTCCCTATCTCAGGAGTTACGAGGGTATTCTTGTTTATCGACAGTCTTAAAATTTCCTCTTGTATTCTTCCTTCTTACACAATTCTTGTCTAACCACCAACAATATTCAACTTGTAATTTAAATTTTGTCTATTCTCGTACTACATATTGCATAGTATGTCAACTCTATATGTTCAAATTCACATATTCATTAATTATTACCAAGTGAATATTTGGCACGGTTAAAACGATAGCAATGAGATAATCAATAGTACATAACGTCAAAATGATTAACAACAAAGCCACAGCAAAAGTACAGCTAAAAATGAATTGAAATCTGGTATATTTCTAGACTAAACATAAATATGACTTGATTGACATAGCCTAGTCAAGAAATTGTGATAGTAAATAATTCAAATCCATAAATAAACGAACAAGTAATTCGTTCTAATTTGAGGACTCGTCAACAGTTTGGAATATATGATCCACTTAGACAGACGAATTCAGAACCTGTAGATTACACCCAGGAAATAATACAATGGAAACCAAGTAATCAGAATCTGACTGTCCATTGCTCTTTGAAATATATATATGTGCAAAGTGGAACTGAATGAATGATAAGGTTAAATCAAGTCGAAAATCCATAAAATTTATTCAATCAAAAAGAAATACTAAAAAATATTGGAAAAGAATCAGAACAAACGAGATGATTAACGATTATACAAGAACTTATACTGTTGAATAAAAATAACACAAGTATGTTACTACTTTATTCACAATGAATATTATGAGTTAAGTAAACAGTTAGTCAGCTACAACGTAGTATCAGGCACATATATGCATCGGTTCAAGTTGTCACACTTCATTAGAGCAACAAGATCAACACCAAATTCATAGAAATAGTTACTTCAAAGGTAGTATGATATAAAACAGATTGTGTATAAGGATATAATACAGGAAGAAAGAATTAGTTGGTAGAAAGAAAGGTATAAAGCAATTTTAACCTCACGGTTTCAGGGAAGACAAAGAGTGTATACACCTACATCACTGTGATTGATTCTGAGACGCGTTCGACTACTTCACTCCCTATCCTTAGTTCAAATGTTGACGCAGGCCAGTTTTGAAGCAATGACTCGCATTTAGAAGACGAGAAACTCATCTCAAACCTTCTGGCATTTTCGCTCAGTGCTACCAAAAGACTGCATTTTATCAGCATCTTCACCAAACAGGACTATTTCATCTGAGTATTCTAAGTTGAACACTATTTAAGTAATTAGATAATGCGCAACTGCCGTACGTAAAGCAGATAGAAATAACAGGATAGATGATGACCCTAAATATGTAGCCACTAAGCCATATTCTTATATCATATACTGATTATTCATACTAAAATTAAAACTATACATATATGTATGAAACATTTGATCGCTACATTTACATTAAAGAAAACAATAATAACAATAATAGTATAAGTCCAATAGTTGAAACCATTAATAATTGGTTAAAAAACAGTTAAACAGTTTGTGTAGAAATTATTGAATTATAATTTGGGAAAAATATATAGATGATAACTTGAATACACATATCAGCTGCCTATGGCATTGTAAACTAATTGAAATGAATCAAGATTAAAGCAAAGGCGTACATTTATTGATACGGATAAATTTTCTCTTTATTTTCTCACTGAGATACCAATCAGAATAGCCAATATTTACAGAGACTATACAAAAACTTAAGTAAATCACATTCTGTTTAATTAATTACACTACCTTAAGATATATGAAAATAAAAACTTCACTTATATATATCATCCTCATTTTTTCTTCATCATCTAAGTTCCTAAACTAGAAATTTACTATAATGATAATGAGATTAATCAGATAATTTGAGTGAAGAACAAGTAGAATAAAACAGAGGAAGGTTTTCACAGCATTAACAATGTTTTATGTTGAATAACTCTCTATATCACACTATCTATCTATTTCTCTGCCTTTTAAGTTCTACAACTATCCTGGCCCAAATTACCTATTCTATTAAATTGTATGTAAAATAATCAATCGTTGTAACAAGGAAAATTGAATTTCTCACTTTAGAAAAAGTAATGATAATAATAATAGAAAATGATTAAACAGTAATGAATTAGTTTAATTACATTATAGATATGGATTGACTACAAATATCTGTGAAGTGGTTGGATGGATTATATGAAAAAAAGGTCATTTCTGTCAATATGACCTTCCTTTAAGTCTTTTAGTATCTAATAGAGAATTATCTCAACAAAGTGGCTAACTACTTAAATATAAGCATATATACGCACAAAACTAACCGGTGTGATAATGTTCTTGAAACAGTTTACTTTCAACTGCTATGCTATGAATTTTGAGTCGATACTTGTTATACTTATTATATCAATTAGATAGAATAAATAATTTGTGTTAGGCAAGGTACATGATAAAGATTTGGGTGAGGCGAAACCACTTCAATCAACCAACCACTCAATTTACTTATACTTATTGTAATTGATGGTATGATCGAAGAACCGACCCGAAGGGTAGATAAATACTTATTTTTAACCCTAACACAAAAATTAATGTTCTATTTTCTGAGCTAATGTTTCTTTTCAACTCTTATTCCTCTGTATCTTCTTTCTTTTTCTGGACACATCCTTTTTAGATGATTTTGAAATGCAACAAACTGTGCATTTCTTAATTTAGCTAAACTTTTGAATGTTATGCTACAACAAATTTCAAGGAGAGTTTATGTCCCTTCTTAATATATTCTCATACAACAGCACAACCACACCCTACTTTTGCATGAGGGTCTTATTTCCTGTCATTATGAGATACGATTGTTCCGGTAAAATTTGGAAAGTGGAAACCCAACGCTTAAACCGATTGTGTTCACACAAATACCCCAACAGATGTAAATGGGAAACACTGATTTCAAACAAATACCCATATAGCCTCCAAAATATTAATGAAGTAAAAAGAGTAAAGAAAACATTGGATAATAGAATCGATCAACATTTTTGCATTAATATTCATCATCTTAAAAACAATAACTTCTTGAAATAAAAAACACTTACGGTGAGTCACAATTTACACCATGTTCTGTATTACCATTCATTGAACAACCATTTATCGCGGATACATTTTGTTCCGTTGATGATTTAAGACGTGAAACTATTTGTAATACAAAATGGAACATGAGAACCAATAAATAATAAAAATGTTGAAGTCAATAAATCATTAAAATTAAAAATAGGGGAACAAAAAGGAAAGTGTAATAATCAAGACTTAAAAAAGAATAACTAACACTTTCTAAAGCATATGTATATAATAATGTCGGGGTGACCCAGAATATTCCTCGAAAAATACCCAGAGGGGTCCTGAAAACGCTGGGAAACATCTTATTCAATCAACATTGAATAGTGGTGTTTCAGAAATATTTAGAGAGTGGAGAGTCACTTGTCACATTTCTGATCGAGTGATCACCTATCCTACTACTATGTTCATTAAGGTTCCAGAAGCCCAAGGCCATTTGAACTTCGGCACACAAACCTACCTTGAAGTAAGGCGTTCTTTTCATATTTCGCGGCTTTTCTCTCGTGTTCAGGTTGTCTTGTAGATTTAGACTGAGGTTGTAAGAAGAGCTTAGGAAACCGATTCAGGAGTTCAGTTAGAAGATTTATCAAATACAAACTCTTTTCAAGACAATAAATTGGTTACGAATTGCACTTCAGAATTATATAATGACAGAACCAGTTTATAAAATACATACCATAATTTTCCGAAATTAAATTGAGATGCCGATTTAGTGACTAAGGTCTATACTTTGTTAAAACTGAGTTCTTTGCATAGGGTAATTTATATGTGAGCCTTCCATTGTCTTTCTACTACACAATACCATCAATATAAACTTTAGATTGAAGTGAACTATAACAGGATAAAGGCCAACAACAACCAGTCAAAATTGAAGATCAAAAGAATAAACCGTTAGTCACTTATGGAGGAATTCTCAAAGCATACTCTAGTTTAACGTTTATGATGATCATATTGTCTAGAAAGACAATGAAAGCTCCACGATAAAACTACACAGTACAGAGAACGCTATTTCAACAAAATCATCTTTCTTAAATTTACCATTATCACAGTTAAATTACTCAAGATTAAGTGAAACAAAAAACTCAAATGCGCAGAAGATTCTTTTAATGGATTTCCGGTTTATGTTAGTTCATGATGAACACTGACTACCTGACTGTATAAATAGATCGATTATCAACATCTATGAAATGAATGGCGTAATTTTAATCAAAACAAGTATAATGAATTATTTATCATACAAATCATATGATATGCAATTAAATAGTAATTATTATCAAACCAAAACACGAATATGTTATGCAATAAAAATGAAGATGATAACATTGTATAATATCATAGGCATGGTATATATTGTTCGTGTCATGAATTAAATATTGGAAATAAACAAAGTGTACCATTTGTTGAATATAATTTATATACCAAGTAAGAGAATTATCACAATCATATTTACACATTACAACTACTTATAAACAACAAAGAAAATTTACCATTTAATAATAAGTTTACATGATAAAACAATAAATTGCATAATTTAGTACAGTTTAAACTAGTCTAGATATAGGTCTATAAACCATTTACATCTATGTAGAATTAAAAATAGAGACTGTAAACAAAATAAGAAACAGTTGCCTTTTTTTGACTGATTCAAGTTGAATTTACAGAAAATATTGTGCATTTCTTAACAGTTTGTACAATCAATTTATAACAGAGAATAATAAAATAATAATGACAAACAGAAAACATCAATAAAGAAGTCTGGCACAGATATTCTTGACTCAGATCCCGTAGGACAATGAGATGAAAATAACAAAAGAGATCAAAGTAATGAAGTACGAATGATAAAAAGCAAAACTAAGCTATGGAAAGATGATTTTACAAGACAAATTGGAAAGGCATATATATGAAAGTATATTGGACTTCGAGATTAATAGGATGGTAAAGAGTGAATGCATTTGTGTCACTGCGAACGATTCTGAGCCATATCATGCAAGGTAGTCAACAATCTATTAAAAAGACACAATTCAATGGTTGGACTCACAAGTAGTATCTTTAATTTAATGTATAAATTGTTTACCATATATATGAGCTTATGTACTTAACCTTTGGTCGCAATTCAATGTGTAAAAGTCACACTGATATTACTTGGGTCCCTAAACTAATGAAGTGAATGGAGTGGGGTCCCAACCCGTGTCGCTAAAAATTACCCGGTAAGTAATTGATATAATTATTGCCCGTATTATTTGATTATATGCAAACATTGACATGACGACCCACATATTTGTTACAGATTGTTGACGTTGTATATGAACAATGTGTTGGATTCTGAATTGATGAGCCTCGAAATACATTTCTCGTCTACAGTGTATTAACGATTCCTTCAGGCCAAGTTCCTTAATAAGCAGTTCTAAGTCCAGATGAATTTCTAACAATCAGTGAGAAGTTATCATTTAAGTTAGTACTTATTAGGAAACTGTATTTGTAATCTTGTGAGAATTAACGCTCCCCGTAAAATTTAGCCATTCATCACGTAATATAAAAGTTTCAGACGCTACCAGTGAGGGATTCCGTATGCGATTGAACTGTCATAGGGCTGAGATTTTTACATTCAATGATCACAAATGTTATGCTTATCTAATCCTTAGTGCATCAAAGTATAGTAGGCGTGACATTTAGTTACCTAGGCTTGGTTTCAAGTTGAAAACAGTCTATAAAATTCGGCAAACACTGACGGCTAGACAGACGTGTCTTTGATTGCTATCGTGAATAATCACAGTAAATTAAGGTATATGAAAAGAATTGTTTACAGAATAAACAAAATTGTATTTGATGTTTTTCTAAATATAAAATAAAAAGAAACAAATAGTTAAGCACATAGTACAAACCAATGTTACTTTTGTCTGGTCCTTTAGTACTGACTAAATTCTATGAAGTTACAATGCAACCACTAATCTATGCAAATTGACATCGTATCCATTATGTTAAAATGTTAAGTGGTTGGAGATAGTTGGCAGAAAACATAAAACTTAAGTTTCGTATGCTAACTGGCTGTGGTGACACATCAGACTGTAAAGCTGGGTGACGCAAATTCGAATATCACACAGACAGCAATAGACTGTAGCTATATCTAGCTGGCCAGTATCGGGCAACACGAAACCTAGGTTGAGAAGGATATCTTTCCAATTACCTCCAACCAACATAACACACAAAAGGGCAGTTTCAACTTAGATATATTAAACGTTGATCTGTTTGCTTTATCAACTCGTTCATTTGATTCACCTACCAAAACTAACAAGTCTATCAATAATGGTAAACGAAAAAAAAGACAGAAATTTTCCAAAATATAATTAAACAGAATTCCAGGTTACAAAAGAGGAAATAAGGATATAGAGTTGTTGAGTGAATTGAGAAGAAACGGGAACGCAACAACAACGATATATGTAAGATAGTTCATGTGCTGAACAGTAATCAACTTAATTTCTCTTCTTTCCATCAGATTATCATACCAGCTCGTGTGTTTTTGTTGAATTAGTCATTCGACCTAAGTTATTTAACACAATACACAAAGAATTAATCTAAAATCAGTTTAACCGTGTCTGTATTTCAAATGTTTTTGTCTGTTAGACAATACTAACAAACTATGGAATGTTGCGTAACGTAAGTGGTTCTAATTTTTACAATTTATACCAGTTGATCGATCGATCGGGATGAATTACATAGGTCAAATATTTATCCTATATTTAAAAGAGATCAATTTGGAAATATTCATCAGTTAATCGTCAGCATCATCTTCGGTAACAACAATAAGAAAGCAAGAAACCATGAACGAAATTCCGTTTTTAGATGCCTTAGTCATCAGAATAAAAACATAGTAACGATGGAAGCATAAGTATACAGGAGGTCAGTAACAGTCACAACCCAACAGTATATATGAGTTTTGTACAAAGACTATCTAGAAGACCCAAATCACACTGTAACACTCTCATAGCACAAGAGAATGAAGAAACTCATCTATTATAAATGTTTTAAACAAAAAGAGCATTTTGGAAGTTACTAGGCGGACATTGATGACTTTCAGAATCAGTGTGAATGTTGAGTGATCTACATAATAAATTTCACCATCTGTGAGAAAACAGGAAACAGCATCTAACTGTCTTACCACTGGTTTGAAACTAATCATTAATGAGTCGCTCAGGATGTTCAAATCTCATGCTCACAGAAACAACATTTACTCATTGACTAATATAGATTCTTCTCATTTAGTCAACTGAAGTTATGATAATTGATAAATTAATTAGTGTGATCTTTTGGTATAATCAATGAAACAGAACGCAAACGTAGTGCGCTTATTAATTTCTATAACTTGATATGTTAGTGGTTTATTGATAAGTCTTGCGGATTGAACGCTATATTCGTCTCCCAAGCTATTCTGTCACCCCCAAGCTAGAACTATAGAGCGACCTGAACACGAGAGAGGAGACTCAAAGTACGCGAGAAGTAGTTTACTCCAAGGTTCATTTTAATACAGAGAATACAGGGTTTTTATAATATTTTAAATATCCTTGGGTTGCTTAGAAGATTCTGGAATGCTACTAAACATAGTAGCAGTGTAGCAGCCAGCCAATCAGAACCTGTACATGTGACGTTCCGCTTCCTTGATATTTTTGGCAAAAACTTCATGTGAACGCTGATTGGACGAAACGCATCTTAGTGATTCCTGATGCTTGCTTGTCTTTTGCAAGCAATTTTCCGGATCACCCCAACATTTATAAAGGTAGGATCTTTGTTATTACCATTACTATGATTATGAAAGCACGAATATTCCTTATCAATTATTTGAAAATTTCAAGGATTTTTATATAAATTATTAGTTTGCTTTTTAGTTTTCACAGTAAACACATGTTTTTCTTTAAAAATATGTCTAACACCATCTTTAAATACGTGACAACAATATTTCCTTAGCTTTAACTGCACAACAAAAGACAATGTTCAGTCGGCTTCCGAGAACTACGACGGAGCCTCCAGAGGCTGCATCTCTGTACTAATGTGGTATGGCAACTTGAACTGATGTACGTACGTACGAAGTTCTACGTTGTTACTGACTGACTGACTGACAATCAGATCATGATGGGGTCAATAGAATGAGAATGCACACTCCTTTGATGACATGTAAGTCATATTTATACAAACTATTATACTCCAATTATTTTTGACAACCATAGCCGTTTCTGTAATGTATTTTGAGTTAATTCAGTTATTATTTGTTAATAATAATAATATATCCGACAATATGTCGACACCAAAAAATATAACACTAAAACGAACATTTTCGTGATTGTTATATCAATTTAATTTTAAATTAGAGTTCTGTAAACACTTATCAGTCATATGAAACGTAGAATCTGTATATATGTGTATATGTTTAAATGACCACAAAAGGTTGGCACAGAGAGATTAAACTACCAATCCAAATCTCAGAGTAGTAGAAGTGGTAACTGTATCAGGAGTAGTGGCAGCAGAAAAGATTAGGTATTGATTAAAAATTATATCAGCCAACGTACCCAACAATTGGACAAAATAACCGTTAGGACCCAAAACAAGTAGTATACACCTACCAACATGTATCAGTCCAACAGTAAATGACTTCATAGATTGAGGCCACATTGTTGTCTGACTGTCCCTAGTTTTCTTCCAGCAAGCAACAATAAAATTTTAATGAAACATCTTTCCTGATTTCTTTTAAAAGAATAAGCTAAAGCTATAGTTGTGAAATAACTTACCAAACACAAATGCTTATATAACTTCTGAGTTTCCTATCGAATACCTCCAATCACCACCTCAACTTCCGGGGTTCGAACCCATAATATTTGTCCTACTGCTACGTTACTGTTACTAATAATAATAATAATAATAATAATAATAATAATAATAATAATAATAATAATAATAATAATAACAATAATAGTAATAATAATAATAATAATAATAATAATAATAATAATGATAATAATAACTCCCAAACAATGGTAAGCAAATTGAACTAACAAGTATACCTTTGGCTGATAAATTTTAATTGGATCTCCCATCGATTATCTTGAAATACTGAGTACATGATTGTTACTACCACTATTATTACAGCAGACCAATAATTAAACATGAATTTTATAGCAAATAAATTTCTCTAAAATGTTATGTACAGATAAACATGTGCTTGCAAAAATTCAAAGACCAACAATGAAGACTTACTTTCAGTATTCTGATGACTAGAGGTATTAGTTTTACATGTTGTTGTATAACCCGGGTAGACATTCTGATTATCACTTAAAATAATATTATTTACACTGTTCACAATTGCCTCATTGTAATCATTGCATAAAGTGTCTCGATCAGAATGCTGATTCGATAATGCCGATGATGATAACGCTTTGTTCTGATCGGTGTAACTTTCAGTTGGTTCAGTTATGTCCTGTAAATAATAATGAAAAAATAATAATAAAGAATATACCAAAATAGTGAAACTCGAAAAAAATATAGCAAAAATACTGCGTCAGAGTAAATCAAGTTCTTTATTGAACTGAAAAGAAAATGTAACTTAATAGTAGTCGGCAATAAGTAGTTTTACCACATGATAGGACAAATTACGGTAAGAGGGATAAGCATACACGTCACCTCGATGGTCGAATCAAGGTAATTAGACTATGATAGAGTCGGTAATGTAACGAATTACAAATCAATGTCCAGCTAACCAGAATCCGGGCCTATAAATTTAGATAACACTATGGCTAGAAGAGACCATCGTAATTTGAAATATATGAGAAAGTGACTGGTGTAGGTGTCAGCAATTCACACGAGTATATACGTTTGTTTCAAAATCAAATAGATGAGATTTTGAGCCATGTCATTCAAGGTCTCTAACCATCGGTTGCTATCGTCTGGCGGATCCCAACCAGGTAGTCTACACCTACCAACATGGTTCAGTCCACTTGTCAGTGAATTCATGGACTTGTCCCATGTTTTGGTTTGGCCGCCCCTAGCTTTCTTCCAACCTACTCCTACACCACTGAACATAGCACGTCGAGGCAGTCGGTGGTTGGGCATACATAACACGTGTCCTAGCCATCTCAACTGGTGAAGTTTTACTAATTCATCAACTGATTTGCCATCATTACCTAGTACCCATTCCCTAACAACTGAGTTACTTACTCGGTGGTCCCAGGATATACGAACAATGTTTCGAAGACATCTGTGATCGAATACTAGTAACCTACGAATATCCTCTACTCTTGCCGGTCATGTTTCACTGCCATAAAGTAGGACGGAACGAACTGCTGAGCAGTAAACACGTCCTTTGGTTGGTAAACAGATATCTCGCCTACGCCATAAATGACGCAAGTTGGCAAAAGCTAGTCGAGCCTTCTGTATCCGTGCTGAGATTTCGTCACACACCAGACCACAAAGGCTGATGAGACTTCCCGGATAAGTGAAGCGGTCGACACACTCAACTACTTCACTCCCTATTATTAGTTCAGGTGTCGATGCAGCCCAATCCCGAAGCAACATTTTGCATCTCGAGGGGGGGAATCGCATCCCGAACATGCTTGCATTGTTGCTTAGAGTGGTCAAAAGACTCTGCATTTTGTCAGCGTCTTCACCAAATAGAACTAAGTCATCGGCATATTCAGTCAGTCAGTCAGCCACAACGTAGGACCAGGCACATATATGCATCGGTCTACGTTGCCATACCTCATTAACACAAGATGGACATCGGATTCATATAAGTGGTTAATTCAGAGGTGGTAATATATAGGAGAAAGATTGCATATAAGGATATAGTATAGGAAGAAAGAATTAGTTGGTAGAAAGAGAGGTATAAAGTAATTTCAATCTCATGGTTTAAGGGAAGACAAAGAGTGTATACACCAACACCATTGTGACCGATTCTGAGCCGTCACCCAGATTCTCCAACCATTGGTTACGATAGTCACGCGGACCCCAACCAAGTAGTCTGCATCTACCAACATGGCTCAAACTAGAAGTTAGTGACTTCAAGCACTGATGCCACGTTTTGGTTTGGCCGCCCCTAACCTTCATCAGCATATTCTAAGTTAACAAATGAATCTCCCGGTAGAAGTTCAACCCCTGGAAATTTAGATGAGGAAAGTGTTATCTCTAAAAGCACGTCAACGATAAGATTAAACAATCGTTGTTATAACTGGATATGAGGGATTATAAAAATCATAAGTGAGGATACAAAAAACGTACACACACACACACTTACAGAGGATGAAATCTGACGATTTTGGACTAATATTCCTGCAGAATATGTCTGATTGTTATTATTGGTATAGTTAGTTACTTGTTGATTCGATGATAGCTGTTGATTTGGTATTTGGTACTTTGATTGTTGATATTGGTTTAGTTGCATATCTTGATTAATAGTAGTAGTTGTTGTTGTTTCATTCGATACCAACTGATCATAAGTGACAGAAGGCTTACATTGTTGTTGTTGAGGTTGTAAAGCCTGTTGACAATGTAGTGCAGCTAGACTTTCTAAGGCTGATTTAACAGCGGCAGCAAATGCATCTGCTTCTTCAACTGATGTGAAATTCAAGCCGTAAACTTGTTGTCTACTATCACGCCACTGATGAAACGTTGGACGCGCTTGATGATATTTTAACCCACGTGCAATGGCACAATTAATAACAACCTAATAGTCATATATGCAGAGATTAGCAACGGTAATAAGTTATAATAAATAAATTAATGATATAAAATAAGATGGCTATAAAATCACTAAGGAAGCTTTCAGGAAAACTGCTTTGGTTGCAGAAAAAATCTTCACTGAACATCGGTAATAGTCGGAGGGATAAGTGTAACACAGAAGTCATTTTGACAACGGTTTTTAATACTTTAATACAGTCATTTATTTAGTTCAGCACATAAATATTGGCACAAAGGGGCAGCGAACACATATGCGCTGCATAAGGCACTTGATTTTTGTGTGGGCTGGGATAGTGCCCATGTGCCCAAACCAAATCAAGTGGTTTTCTTAGGGGACCACACCCGGGGCTTTCGACTTAAAGGTCTGATCCACAAGGCAGTGGAACAACGTCAGGAGATGCAGTCCCACGGTAACCGGTGACCAAGGAATTGGTTCATACGCCATTTGGTCCCGGAGCCTGTGTGCACCATCGGTTTGAAACCAGCCTGGTTTTCTCTGGTCTGTTCTTCACGAGCTTTGGTTAGGCGTCCAAGAATTATTGAAGCTAATATTTTAGACACTATATTAGTCAAACTGATTCCTCTGTGATTGTCACAAGAGAACTTTTGCCCTTCCTTGTATACTGGCACAATCAGTGATTGGGACCAGTCAGATGGGATTACGTCCAGTTCCCAGATTCTACCTAAGACCTCAGTCAATCTTGCTGATAATACTGGGCCGCCATCTTTAAAAATCTCAAGGATAAGCCTGTCAGGGCCTGCTGCTCTCCCTCGTTTCAGATTTCCTATGGCTTTTTCAACTTCATAAAGAGTCGGAGGACTTACATTAACTTGCCATTCAGGTAGACTGGAGATCGTGGGAAACCGAAGTGTGGCTGAAGGTCAGTTGAACTGATCCCAAAAGTGTTCTCCCCATCGATCCAATTTCCTGGATTGAGAATGTATAATGTGTCCATCTTTTTCTGAGATAGTTTCGCTAACAGTCGGGTTCCTAATACCGGTTTGCTTAACAAGTCTGAACATTTGTCTGCTATCAAATGATTAAAACTACTAACTTTATTTTTTAAAAGTAAGATGGAATCGGGGGGTCACTTCAAAAATTCACATGGTAGTTGTGCCACACAAGCTCGATCAAGTTGATAAATGATGAATATCTGTCGATTATATCGGAAGATAAATAAATGATGCCATAAACCAAACCAAAATCAGTAAAGCGATAAATACTAGTTTTCTGAAGTAATAGGTAGATACACAATGTACATGGATATGCAAAAAACATTTGAATGACCTCAATAAACTGATGAACCAAATCAAGGAAGATATAGTGATTTGAAGGGAGTGTTGAGGAGATACTCACAGGATACATAATGACATAAGAGACTGGTCATTTGCAGTGCAGTGTCGGTTACTATGTTAAGCCCATACAACTTATTCTAACTTCTGGACAGGCCAATTTATCCATTCTTCTTGAGTCATGTTTTGACCTTGTTAATTATTCACTTATCAATCCTGACTGTCTTTATATGAGCGTATGCTTGTATATCTTATCCTACTCATCACAAGTCTGTAGCTTATTTTTGTGTGACTATAAATATCAATTAACGCTTGACCAAATGGAGTTTTTCATATGCCTTCTCCACCGCGCATCCTAGTTTCGCTTCGCTCTCTCTTTTCCGCTTTATTCGCTGCGACTCTCTGATTGTCTGTTCCGATCAACGACTGTACAAAATATATGTGTTCAAACATACATTCTCGCATTTGACCTATTTAATTCCGTTATTCACCACCACGAGTTAAGTCTATAATTTTATACGAGTGACGATATGCATAACTCAATAACAATCCATCATATGATCTAACTGAAGTCAGATCTCGTGCCACTAAAGCAGTCCTTAACACTAATAGCAAGAAGATTCGACTAACCATTAAAAATGAATTAGATATAATGAGCTTTTAGGATCTCTATTTCGATATGGTTACTTAATTGATGTCGTTCAGTGATAAGAACTTCTAAAAGACAAGGCTAATGCCTTATAATCAGCACAAAAGAAATGTATTAAGACATCTATTAGGTAGCCTTAAAAAATCGTCTTTTAAGAACTTCAAGAAAGTAACCACTAATTATGCCATACCTCACGATCTGGTAACCTCCATCCAACAACTCGATAGGCATTAGTTAACGTGTTGTGATATAGTTGAACTTTGGAAATGCCATGTCCTGGGCCACTTGGGATCCAAGTACTAGCCTTCGAATCATACAGCATAACATTTGCTTTTGCTGTGGCCACGGCACACTCACTACAATAACGAAACATGACATGAAGAAAATTAATAAAAATAAAGTAGTTTGTAAGTAATCTATAACCTGGGGTAACTTAATTTTTTTCGTTATAACTTTACGAAATCTCGCTTGACTTCCCTGGATGTACTAAAGACTACATATAGGGAAAAATTAGATGAGGTTTTGTGCCAAAACCGAGAATTTTTCTAATGTGAAACGAATGCAGTTCCCCAGAATACATAATTTAACTACATATTCGTCAACCATTCGTACAAAAGTATTGCCCCATACTTAACAAAACAGGTTCTCTAATATTTGAAAAGCGATACTTTCCGTCAGTTTTAACCTGACCGCCTGCACTAAGTAAACTAAACAGGGAAGATCAAGATACATCAATCTGACTATTGACCTGATTCATTTCGGGATGCTAAGGTTATGGTCTAAGAAAATCGTTATTTATGGGTAGGGCCACTGAGCTAAATGATAAAAAGTCAATGGAGTCGCGATTATTTTTACATGTCCTTAAATATTTAGTGTCATCTCACGAATTTTATTATTCGAAAGATGAAACTCTAATTTATGGATGCGTTTAAGCCGACAGTGAAGTGACTTCGAAGATGGCCACCCACTTACTAGAGCTAAGTGAGTGCTGAAAAAAAGTGTAGAGAGCTGGAATTATGATTTTGATCGTTAGGGTTAGGAATTAGATTTATTATCTTCATCACGAACTGGCATGAGCTAAAATGCCAAAACGCTATTTAGCTAAATGAATAAAGTTTGTGCCGAAATCCAAGACCTGAAATCTTAAATGTGATTTCTCCGTCCATAAATTATAGTCTCTCCATGTTAACACTAGTGACGAACTGTTTTACACTGCAGCACGGTTTTCTTTGTAAAAACACAAAAAACACCCGCCCACCACGCTTTAAGCTATTTTAGAGAGTCAGAAAACATTAAAAACACACAAGTCAGAACACTTTCACAAGCATAAAGTTATTGAATGCGGCTAAGAGGATTGTCACAGCAAATGTGAACATAAGATAGTTGTACACATTAATTCTAGTTTACAGGACGAAATTAACTAGAAGTACTGCATTATAGTGTGTAGGTAAATGAGCGAATTCACCCAAACTTACGCCATAACAAACCGACTACGGTCAACACTCGCTCTTCTGGTTCGACCTTGAGAAGTTAAAAAATCCCGTAGAGTCGAAAATCTGAAATCTGAAATCAATAGTTAGAACAAACAAAGCACAGTTAAGAAATCAGCAAACCGTTAAATATGAACGATCCTCAAGGATAAGCAACACGAAATTCAAGAAATTTTCGTTTACCAGTAACACTTTACATCTATTTTTCGACTTCAGTCAAACAAATACTAAACTGATGTCGAACTCCATGGGTCCACACAACGCGTTTCCGTGTTTTTAAATGATGCTCTTCGAAAAACTCTACACATCGATCAAAATAAATGTGATTAAAACGGAAAGAATAGGAAATTTCGGTAAACTGGTGTGGAATATACTGATTATTACGTAAATAATATCATGTTTCCTCCGGAATGCTCGAAAGATTTGCTTACACCGCTTAGAATGGCAGCACATTTCATGACTGTACAGCCCTCAAAAAGCGAAACCAAACCAGTTATCTATCCTACTCTAGCTTAAGGGTGTCCTATCTTGAACTAATGTTATGACTGAACTTGGTTAATTTTTTGGGGATATTAGTGTGAAACATTCCCTAAAGTAAAAAGTCTGCGCAGCAAGTCGCAATTTTCGCATTTTAATAATGACAACCTCAGAGAAACTATGAAATGAGCGAGGCAGATTTCAGGATGAAAATCGTCATGGCTCGTAGAAATGAAGATGACTCATATTACGCCAATAGCGCATGAATTTTATTGGCTTCCACTGGATATTCAAGAGACAATGACCTTAAATTTGATATAGCCCCATCAATTTCGGAATTTTGAAAACTTCCGATCACTATGTCTTGAAATATAAACCTTCTGTATTTAAGATGTGCCCATTGAGTTTCAGTTTCAGTTTGAGAAGGACAGGAGGCTCGATGGCCTATGTTAGTCCTGGCAATGATGGTCTCTCAGTTGATCCAACTTTCTTTTGAATAAGTCGACGGATGGAGCCTCAACCACGTGCTGAGGTAGTGAATTCCACTCGTTGATGATTCGATGGGAAAGTCGATAGTCAGCTGACAAGTAATTTGTTCTCGGCTTATGAACTTTTTTGGAGTGTCCTCGTAAATTCTCTGTTTTGGAAGACAAGAAAAATGAGGGCATAACAGGTGCAAATTTATCATTAAGCAATTTGTAGACTGTAATCTAGTCGCCTCTAGTTCTGCGATATGACAACGGGAAAAGGTTCAGCTTGGCTAGTCGACCTGTAACAGCTTAGGTTGGTTGGTTAAGAGTTGACCCAAAACAACCAAGCATATGGCAAAGCAATATTGTTCAAGTATCCATTCACTTCCTTGTTTTGTATAAGCGTTATATTCCCTATTATCTTATATTGAATGTTGAGAGCCTTTGTTTGTCTGAACAGATAATCCCACGCTCCACTGTGACCGCGCTAAGATCGAAATAAAGACCTATTCACTACTTGTCTGGTTTCTTCTATCAATAGCACGAGGGTTACTTTAAGGCACGAAACTGGTGAGCCCTTTTTGAACACAAATTTAACCTCGTTTCTGTTATTAACATTTTTTTTATTTAATCGTAAAAGTAGACCTGATTATCCGTAAACTAATTTGAGTATATAACTAGTTTATTCCGTATTATCTTAAGTTATTCGTGTTATAGTAACCACTTTTTGTGCTAACTTTATTGCTATATTTGTCACATACCTCATGTCAGACTCAATAGAAACCCATAATCTGGAGGATTTGTCACCAGTGGAGATAGACACTGTTATGACTACGAAATCTCGACTTCCAGAATTTGATCGTTGTGATCCTGAGTTGTGGTTTGCTCAACTAGAACATTATTTCACGAGACACAATATCAAATCTGAAGGGATTCGCTATAGAGACTTGTGTTCTATCCTTCCTCCTTCAGTCGCCAAAGAAGTCCGTGACTTGATTTTAAGTCCACCATCACCACAACCATACCCCAGCTTAAGACGAGAGGTAATGAAACGTTTATCATTATCAGATGGTCAAAGAATTCAAAGACTTTTTCAAGGTGAAACACTAGGTGATCGGTCGCCGTCACAGTTTTAACGTCACCTCCAAGTCTTAGTGGGTGATAACACAGTGGGTGAAGCAGTCCTAAAACAAGGATGGATACAAGCTCTCCCATGCTACGTCCGAAACTGTTTGGATGCACAAGATCCTGAAACCTCATTATCTCATTTACCGCGTATAGCCGACAGAATAATGGAAAGAGGTCCTCCAACTGGATCAGGCACAATAAATCACACACAAAAAGTCGAATCAGCAAAAGACCCCGTAATAGAAGGACTCATTGCGAGTGTTAAGAGTCTCACTGAGGCTGTCACCAGAATGCAAATGGGTCATAGAAACAGGAGCAGGTCACCACAACGACCACGATCCAGGTCACAAATGCCCAGACAATCTGGGCAGTTTTGTTGGTACCACTGGAAGTTTGGTGTCAACTCAACCAAGTGCATGCAACCATGCGCCTGGCCTAAGCATAATTCTAAGACAGCGGGAAACCAGTAACCCCTCCCAGGTCGCGACGACTGAGGAGGGGCGCCTAAACAGTCGCTTGTTTTATGTTAGAGACAGAAACTCTGGTTTGAATTTCTTGGTGGATACTGGCGCTGCTCTTAGCATCATCCCTCAAAATAAAACTGAGATTAGTCGAGAAACATCATCAATTACACTTCAAGCTGCAAATAAAACTAAAATCGCGACATTTGGGCAGAAAACTTTAACCCTAGATTTGGGGTTCAGGAGGCAATTCCCTTGGGTTTTCACGGTAGCCGACTTAGATCTGGCAATACTGGGGATGGACTTTCTAGAGAGATACGAATTTCTAGTTGACACCAAGAAACGGCGATTAACACTAAAAGAAACTTCGTATTACACAAAAGGCAAAGAAATTCACATCAGCTCTCTTAACTTGATTCAAACTCCCCCAGTAACAACAGCGAAATTCCAAGATATACTCGCGGAATTTCCAAACTGAACTAAACCAAACCCACAGCCTTCTAAGGACAAACTAAAAGTGAGTCACACTATCAAAACCGAAGGTGCACCGGTGTTTGCAAAACCCAGGAGACTAGCACCAGATAAGCTCAAAATCGCTAGGGCTGAGTTTGATTATATGCTACAACTGGGTATTATCCGTCCCTCTGATAGTCAATGGGTATCCCCTTTGCATATGGTCCCAAAGAAGAATGAAAGTGACTGGCAACCGTGCGGGGATTACAGAGCCCTAAACCGTCAAACCGTTCCAGATAGGTACCCAATACCTCATATCCAAGATTTCACCAACGGTTTACAGGGTATGAACATATTCACTAAAATTGACTTAGTCAGGGCATATCACAATATCCCAGTGGCTGATGAAGATATTCCCAAGACAGCTATTACTACACCCTTTGGCTTATTCGAGTTTGTACGCATGCCATTTGGCCTGAGAAACGCTGCACTTCCTCAGATATTCTTTTTCCACATTCTCACACTTTCTCTTGAAAGCACGCAGCAAACCGTCAGCGATAGTTGTAGAAGAAATCACATGCTACAAAATAAGATGACAAGCTAGTAAAGAAGAGACATCCATGGACTATCGTTGACAGCGAGTTGATAATTTTCCCTTGGGATGAGAAATAGAACTAAGGTGTTTTCGATAGTTAGGTTAATCGAACCGACGTTCCTACGGAAGTCGATTCTAGGGGGAAGCTAATGTAACAGCTTAGGTTGGTTGGTTAAGAGTTGACCGCAAACAACCAAGCAAATGCCGAAACAGTATTGTTCAAGTATTCATTCACTTCCTTGTTTTGTATAAGCGTTATATTCCCCATTATCTTATATTGAATGTTGAGAGCCTTTGTTTGTCTGAACAGATAATCCCACGCTCCACTGTGACCGCGCTAAGATCGAGATAAAGACCTATTCACTACTTGTCTGGTTTCTTCTATCAATAGCACGAGGGTTACTTTAAGGCACGAAAGACCATCATACAGAAGCTTCGCCATTCCGGGAATCCGCTTAGTCGCCGTTCTCTGAACCTTTTCCAGAAGCTCACTGTCTTTTTTAAGCAGGGGCTAGCCGCTTGTATGCAGTACTCAAGTTTAGGACGAAAGATCACCGCATACATAGTTGTTGTGTTTGATCAACTGGAATTTGTAAACCATCATTTCGGTTTGGTTGAATAATCAATGGAAATTGAATCAACCCACCATTTTTAATTAATGATAGATTTAAAATGTTTATCGTATTATACATGAAATGTTGTTTTACCATAAATAAATATTCATTAATATTTTTCGTTCCTTGTAAAGAAATCATTAGTATACTTGTACAGAAAATTTTAACTCAGAATATAAGAATCGGTGTCAATGGTTACTCAATAACAGCTGTAAATTTGTCACTTTTAATTAAATTCTTTACAAGTTTAGATGAAATCACGCCTAGTAAATCCAAGATGGACAGAGAGATAATACTACCTAGTACAATTAAAGAAATATTTTAAAAAAATTACATAACGAACTTCACCTTGTAACCTACAAATTTTTATCTAAAAGTAATGTTTTTGCAAACTATTTTGCATCATTTACTCATATAATTGAACAACTTACCTTAATTGTTACTTAACAACTTTTCTGAATAATTGATTAGGAAACTTGAGTAATTTTCATTTATTTTGTGTATACAAGTTTGTGTCTCCGGTCACAGGTCCGGGTAAAGGAAGGGGGTTGGGTCAGAATCGTCATCCTGTAGAAAACAAACTTGCTAAAAAATGCTAACCAGAATAAATAATTTGAACCATTTAAACTCTGTCCTTTGAGTTGAAGCATCTTTATTCAGAAAAATTATGACGCCTCATGGTGAAAGCCGAGATTTTTCGGAAATCACTAGGCCGATGCCTCTTCTAACCACCAGATTAACAATTAATATAGGTAATTGGGATGTCCGGTAAAAGTGTGAAACCGGCAGGACTAGTCAATTAACAATGGAAATGAGGATATACAACTTGTCGGTTCTCATAACCAATGGAACACATTACACCCAATCTAGACAGAA